AAAAGAAACTGGATTGACAGCGGATGCTGTTCGACTCACAATTTCGTTTCCGCAGACTGCTCGACCCATATTATCTAGAGTAGTTAAAAAGTCATTTGTTTCGGTCAATACAAACTTCGAAAACCTCCACAACCTGCAACTAAGGACTCCACAAGGTGCAAGGGTTGAAATAGCGATATCTGCCTTAAAAGCTGTTGTTGCTTTTGGGATTCTGTAAGCTAAGAAGAAACCGTAGAATGGTTAAAATTCAGTTTTAATTAAGAACATTAATTATCAACGGTGTAGCAGATTACCAGCCAATAAGGCCAAAATGATGAAACAACATTATCTGATGCTCACTAAAAACTGACTCGATAACAAACATTCGAATTTTGAAAGTTTCGTTTCTTTTGGCATAACGGTTTTGGTTTTTTGTTTTTTGTTATTTTTTTTTCATCAAATCATAGACAAGTAAGTGTGAGTTGACTTCGCAAGTTATATAAGTTAAGGCCGTTCAGCAGCAACGACATAGTTGATCCAATAGTTTGATTAGCACATAATTAGCAACCTTACTCTGCTCTGAAGAAATATGAAAAAAGTGAGTTGAGATCAGTTTTAATTGTGTTGAGATAAATTTTGCTTCAATTTTTTTTTCGAAATCATCCAAACAATCCAAACAGCGCCAAAAAACAGGACCATTCATTTGTCAGTTTTTTTTGCCGAGAGTTATGAATTGTATGAAAACTAACACAAAGACAAAAATGCCACCTATTGATTGAGGAGCGATTGTTTTATGTTCGTGACATTATCAACACTACTACCACTGTCGGAAAAAGTCAACCATTTATTTCATTACGCTTATATTTGGTTTAATTATCAGACAAAGCTCAGATGAGTTTTTGTAATACTCTGCTCAAAATCCATCACGGTCGACAAGCTCGATAAAGAAAAATGTGTTGCCGATAAAATTTAAAAAATTTCATGTGCCTGATCATCTTGCGGTTCACCTGAATATGAACATACAGGTATATCACAAAATTAACATGAAGACTTATTGAAAACCCTACATTTTAAAAAACGCCTGCGTGAAGTAAGAAAAAGATTCTTTCGAATAAACCATGAATCTGAAACAATTTGCTCACAAATTTAAAAAAAAAACTATAACAATATTGGAATACCCTTAACACAAACTCGTCAAGATCTAAATGATTCTAATATCAGAAGAACTATTCTTGAATTCAATCACTAAAACCAGTGACTACTAACAGCTTTAAATATAAGCAAACAAAACGCAACGTCAATGGAACTTATGAGTGTCGATCGCAAGGGATCAGTTTCAAAATGATCATTTTTAACAAAAAAAACTAAAATCATTCTTGCTCGACAATAAAAAACAAGGTCATCAAAAACTAGCCAAATTCTATCGAATATTGATCAAAATATATCAAAAATGACAACAAGATTCAACGCTAGATTTTTTTTCAAATCACAAAATCGTCGACGGAAATTGTTCGATGAACCACGTCGAGAGCGGATAAGAATCAATTCATACAATCGATAGAAACTTCGATCACCTCCACAACCAGCAAGACTACACTTTGTTCTAAAACTGAGTTCCTCCGGTCCAAAAAGCTTCCTTCAACTAAACTTCAAATGCAAAAACAGTTTGCACTAATTTGAAAAAAAAATTGTAGCTTGAAAAAATGAAGGAAAACTTTCGGAAATCTAAACAATTTAAAAAAACTTTTAGTCAAGGCTTATTAAAAGCTTAGAAATGTTAGCAACGTCAATGGGATAAGCAAAGTCAAAAATAAAAGTAAAATCATTGGGATTCAGGAAAGTCAACAAAAAAGAATCAGTTTTAAAATAATCAGTTTGAACAAAACTGATTATTATCAATCTGGGTTGATCGTTTTTGAACCATAGTTTATAGCAAGAATAGCCACAAAAAAAAGAAAAAAAGCAAAAATTTTGTCAAATTTGATCAAATATGACAAGAAAAATGGTTGACAGTGGATATTGTTCGACTCACAAATTCGTTATCAGAAACTATTCGACCCACATCATCTAAAGTGGATAAATGTCAATTCATCCGGTCAATACAAACTACCTCCACAACATGAAAGAAAAGGCAGGTTTTACATAGCCAAATCTGCCTTAATACTTGTCCTTATTTTGTGGATTTTGAAAACTAGGGAAAATGATGAAAATTCGGTTCAAGTTAAAAACATATAAAATCAGTTTTTTGTACAAAAAAGCCAAAATGATGAAAAAAATTTCTCTGATGTTTACTAAAGCTTGATTTATTACAAAAATTCAACCGTTCAAAGAAATTGGCGTTTTTTGCAATTGTAAAATATCTGATTAAAGACAATATAAATATATATATATATATATATATATATATATATATATATATATATATAGTAATTTGGCTTCGCGTATTGTGTTAAATTGATGCAATTAAGGTAACATAAATAAACAAAACGATACAAGTGATCCAATAGTACGACTAGCAGCATTACGCTGCACTGAAAGATTAGGAAACATTTGGATTGAAATCAGTTGTAATTGGGTTGATATAATTTTTTCATTTTTTTTCTCGAAATCATCCCACAGCGCCTAAATCAGTTGCAAAGTTCAGGTACTACCTTACAATCCTCTGTTTTTTTGCTAGGATTTTTGAACTGTATGAAAACTCTTACCACGACAAAAATAATTCCTGCTGGTTGAGAGGCGATTATTTTGTGTAAGTGACATCGTCAACTCTACGAGAACTGTCGGAAAAAAGCAGCTTTTTGCTCCATTACGCTCACTTTGGTCATTTATCCAAATGAGCTCAAATGAATTTTTTAAATACTCTGTTCAATGTCGGTCACGGTCGACAGGTTCGAAAAAGAAAAAAACTGCTGCCCATAAAATCTCAAAAAATTAGATGCCTGATCACCTTGTGGTTCACCTGAACATACAAATAAACCACAATCTTAAGATGAAGATTCGTCAAGTACCCTGAATTTTGAAAAAAGTTTGTGTCAAGTAAAAAAACCTTTTTCAACAAAACCATGAATTTAATACAACTTGCGCACAAAATGATAAAAAAAATTATTTATCCTGGTGAAACATAACACAAAATAGTCGAGACCTAAATGATTTCCTGAATTCTTTCACTGTAGTCAATGACTATTAACAGTTTTAAGTATAAGCAAATTAAACGCAACGTCTAAGGGATTCAGTGTCGATCGCAAAGGATCATTTTCAAAATGATCATCTTCAACATGACTGACTAAAATAAATCTTGTTTGACAGTCATCAGACAAAATCATCAAAAATGATCAAACTTTATCAAAATTTGATCAAAGGGAAACAAAGTTAACAAAAGAGGTTAACATTAGATATTTTTCAATTCGCAAATTCGTCAACGAAAAGTGTTCGATGATTAACATCGAGAGCGTATAAGAGTCCATCCATACGGTCAATTCAATAACCTCCACAACCCGTGAGACTAGACTATGGTAAGATAGACATATCTACATATCTGCATCAATAGCTGGCCTTAACATTAAATTTTTTTAAGCTAGGAAAACACCCTATTATTCGATTTCCGACTTTCCACTTCTTTCCGTTCCCGGGTTGACCTCCAAAGTTTTCACGTGCACTTTTTGTGTACATAACGTAGTCCTGGATACACTAATTTTGGATTTTTTTCCTTTTCGCTAAATAACTTTAAAAAAACACTAAAAACTCCTTTTTTGTATGGCATGTTTTTGTATACCTTAGTCAATGTTTGATTATTTAAATATTCAAACTTTAAAAATAATCATCGTTGAAAATTTTTACCAAAATTTAAAAGTTTGTTACTTTCGTTGTATCTTTTATGTAAGACAGCTCTTAGACAACTCAGTTCGTTTTCTATGCAATGTGAAAGCCAACATTTGGTGACTCCAGTTTTGAGTAAACAAAGGTCTTTGTCACATGCGTTTGGTTGCAAACACAACCCAAAATTTTAATTACAAAAAAAATCAAATTTTTTGGTTTATGGAAAAATGTTTATCGTAGAGATTGAATACATCTTCCTGTACGTGTGGAACTGTTTGGACGAGTATGCTAAGAAGTTTTTCAAAAAAGAAAATTGTATGACAAGAAGTTTTTGTTCAACCCGGGATCACTTTGAGCTTAAATGAGTTGGTATAATACTGTTTTAAAAATTTTCATCTATGTGTTCTTTTTGTTCCTCGTCAATTTTTGTTATGACTTTCGAAGAAATTGGCAATTTTTTTTGTGCTTGAGGTGGTTTTTGTTTCTGGACAAACATCCAATTTTTATCTATCAAATTTGAATAAAATTTTCATATTTTATGAGAGATAAGGATGCCTCGAGCTTCAAAAACACAAATTTTTTACCACGACAACTTATATGCGGTTTTAGAGCGCTGAAAACTGTTAACTTTTCCAAAGTGGAATAACTAAAGCGCGAATTTTTTTTAGCGCTTAGCGTAAACGGTGTAATAAACCGGCGCAGAAATTCTTCTGTTCCTCTATTTGAGGCTAAATAATTAACCCAAATATTGATTAACCTAACAAAAAGATTGTTACTTCTGACGCAAGCATTTTTTGCTTTGTTAAGAGCACTCTGGTATATTACTTTTTTCTAGCCACTTTTTGAAGCGGCGTTATAAGGCAATTGATTGAACCCAAAATTGGTCAATATTTACACATTCTTTATCAAAATTTTTATTCGTACAACCACTTTTCGTTTTGCTCACTCAAGCTTTTCCATCATAGAGCTGTCCCTAAATTTCAAATTTGTACCAGCTTTGGCTTCAAAACGGTACTACCCTATTCGAGGAGCGCGACTTCGACATCAAAGTTTTGCTGATTTGTTTCTTTGACCAAAAATGACAATGTGGAGCAGATTTTATAACCTGAAACGTTATCTATCACAATATTACGATAGTCTGAAACTGAGAAAAAGGCTAAATTGAGCGATAATAGTTTTTTTGAAGATATATGAAATAGTTGAACACAAAATCAGTACGTCAAGGACAATTTTGCGTAACGTGCTTCAAAAATCTGCAAGACAATCAAAAATGCTTCAAAAATCCATAACTTCACTTTACACTCCAGCAGACTAGGAATGATTTCACAGATGAAGAATGATTTCACAGCTCAGGAGGGGTAATGAAGTGCATAGCTGTTTTTATAAAATTTAGTTAATGGATCACGCATCAGCGCTTTTAGACACCTTCTTCAGAGCGTTTCAGTCGTCATAGTCTGGAAAACATAAAATTTTAATCGGATATTCTGTGATGTGGATCAGCTTTTGGGCGTAAGGGTACAAAGATTCTTTTGGCAAAAAAACCAACGCGTTTTATCTCTTCGTTGACTGTATTGATTCTGGTATAGATGGTCTATGCTGGTACGCAATCTGCAATCGGGTCCGTGATTAGGTCGCCTTGGTAACCAGGGAGACAGTCACAGACGAAAGACCCATCTGTGTTGGTACAGCTGGTGTTTTGACCGCATTGAGATGGGCTGCACTCGTCTATGTCTGAACAAAACGGGCCTTGTGTTATTCCCATAACTTGATCAAGCAAAAGTTGTGCATGCAATTATTCTTACAGGGAGACAGCTCGAAAAATATGATTAACTGTCCGTAATCACCAACAAAAAGCCCAAAATCCTTGCAAAATTTTTGCTGCTGGGTAGAAATTGAACTGCAAATTACAAATAAAACTATTATATTTAAAATACACCCAAATATCAGCAAGGATAGACGGTTACTGTGCAAATAGCACATAATGTTTCAACCATAGTCTTAATAAAATACAACAAAGTTTTTTCAAATTATTGTCATTTTTGGTGTGGTGTGATAAAAGGGGCTGAAAAAAACTGGAGATTAGGTATATTCGACAGTCATAGTAAAATAAGCAAATTGAAAGACAATTTTTGCAGAAAACTACTTGAAAAACGAAAAAAAATATATTAAAAAAATATCGAAAACTTTTTCAAGTTTTGCAGTTTTTTTAATTTTTGAAAATTTTGATTCCAAAAAGGCGCTAAAATTCTCAAAGTAAGTTAACGTACTCAAGTAAAATTAGTTTTAATATGGTTCGAATCACGGCTGTAAGGGCTTCAACGTGATATGTAACTCAACCCAGTTCAATGATTATTTAGGGTGCCTGATTTTGAGTGGAAAACAAAAAGGAAAAAAACTAAAACAAACCATTACGAGGCCAAACTTAGACACCTTCTTTAAAAAGGAAAAAAACTAAAACAAACCATTACGAGGCCAAACTGGATAGGCGCACAATGTTGTGTCTGTATGCTCCTGCATTCCAGAGACAAGTTTTTGAACACGTTAATTTTTGTTTGTCGGAACACTGAAAGAAGATGAAAGAACAAAAGAAGAACAAAGGGAGAGTCCTTGTTGCGGAATCTGCTTACAATTCACAAACTGCACAATTTGGCCTCGTAATGACCGAAGTCAAACTTCCTACCCATTTTCAATGCTCGAAACAAAAATTAGCAACTCGATATAGACCCTACATCCGGTAAACGATAAAATATCCTTATAAATCTGCGATAGTTATCAATGATAACCGAGATTTAATTGCATATAGATAAAAACATTTATAGTCACAATTAAATAGATTCAAGTCTCATGGATAACGCATAAATGTTTTATAAAACAATAAAATTCTCAAAAAAATTACTCAATTTAAAACAAACTTAGACAATGCCAATAAGGGAATTATATTTTATAACTGTATTTCCGTTTTGAAACTCTTAGGTTGCCCAATCGAACCTGCGCAGTCGTCATGCTGTCCATTGCCGGAGAAGAATCCGTCGTCACACTGGCACTGGAAACTCCCCTGGGTGTCCGTGCATGTAGACCAGTCACCACACACAGCCAGAACAGAATCACACTCGTTGATATCTAGAAAAGATTGAAAACAAGGATAGCCGGTTCGAAGTAGCACAGAATGTTCCGACCAAAGTCTTAAATAAACACAAAGTTTTTTTTCAAGTTGATGTAGTTTTTTTCTGTATGTTTTGATAAAAAGATCTAAAAAAATAGAATTTAGGCATAATTGAGCATCATAGTAAAATATGTCCTGAGTTTTTGATGAAAAAGGACTATAAAAACGAAAAAAAAAGTCTTTAAAACTTTTGAAAAAATTTCAACATTTTTTTTTCAAATTTTTGAATTTTTTTTTGATTTTTT